GAATTTTCAGGAACTTCTCTGTCAACTGCCATAGGCACAACGCCCGTTACTGTTTCAGAATCATCAGTCTGCTCATCGCTCTCACCAGTCTCACCCATTTCTTCGTTTTCTTCCTCTTCTCCCTCTTCAATAGCTAGACAATCTTCGTCATCGTCAAGATCCTCGGAGTCTTGGTCCTCCTGATGTCTAGCTGGTTTCAGATCTTTCTTGATCACTCGCAACATTCTCAGCAGTCCATCGTTGGTGACATCTTGACAAAAGTACTTGAAAACCTACAAGAGACATAGGATTGCGAATTTTTATTAACTAAGCCAATTGGAAACAACAAACCGACGGATCAAATAGAAGCTCGTTTTAGCACCCAAGGATCAGCAACTAGAAGTAGAGAAAAAAAAAAAATCTGCTTGTGGCTAGCTTATTACCTGCTCAATGGAAGATCGCATTGGAGCTGAAGAATGTGGCAAGAGAGAAAGTAATGTGTCCACGAGGACATCCATGACTGCTGGTTCTTCTTCATCATCTGCCTCACCTTCGCCATCAAGAGAGGAACTGAAAGCTTTGTCACAGCATACTGAAAGTTCACTAGCAGCTTCAGAGAACTCCCCAGGATGGAGGAGTATTTGAAGCAACAGCTGAACGACTAAGTGCCTCAATGCATGAAATTTATTTGCGTCAGCAGATAATCCAGAATTCTTTTCCTGCCAAAGTAAGATTAGACAACTTAAACACAGAAGTACATCAACATTTAATTTAGTAAGATTTCAATTAACAGTAGCATTAGCGCAAAGCCAGCAAGAAACTTACCTCCTTTGAAAGTTTACTTTCTGCTTCTTGTAATTCCTTGACTGCCTTTTCATCTGCTTCATTCAGGGAACGGAAGAGCGAAACAGAGGGAATATTCTGCAGTGTGCTAAGGAATCTCATGAAGTACGAAACAGGAGCATCTTGCGGGTCATTTTCCATAGCTAGTGGACTCTCAATCTTCTGAGAATTCGACAGCAAAAGCTGAAGCTGTTCGATGCACATTTTGCAAAGAGCAGTGGAAGTAGCTGCCTTAGGCCACTTAAATTTCTCCTGCAACTCAAATGATGTAACTTCAGTGCCGAGAGAGGCCAAAAACAGACCTTGAACAGCAAGAAATTTCAGGATCTGCTTTTGCACTCGCAGTTTTGCCTCAGGAACCAATTTAGCATGTTTTAAAATGCCAGGGAGAGACTCAATGACCCAGCTTTTCAGAACATCTGAGTTTCCTGTTGTTCCAACCGAATCCTTCTCCTCGTTGGAACCTATCTCAGAATTATCATCTGTCGTTTGACTCTGATCTGAGTTCAGAGAGCAAGGTTCAAGGGCCCATTTCATATTTGAAGGTTCCTCAGGAACATGCTGTTCATCCACAAACAAGTTCATCAAGTTCTGCAGGAAGAGCGTGCAACCATCTTCAGTTTCAAACTCTGCAGCTAGATCTTTCACAGTTTTTGTACGCGTAAAATTGTCAAATTTTCCTTCACTGTGTTTCTGAAGAGCCATTGTAACAGCAACCCTTTTGGTATCGTCGTCTTTCACCCAATCCATCAACTCCGCAAGAAAATGTGTTGCAACTTTATGCAACCAAGAGTCCTTTGTAGAGAGTATATCCATGAGGCACTGAACAAATTTGTATGATACCACATGTTGGATGAAACTTGCAGGAAGCTTTGGAAGAAGAAGAAGCAGAATATCGAATGCCAAATGCTTGCGATCGTGAGATGAAGAAAGTAGGGTTCCTTCCATAAAAATTTCACTGAAATTCCGTATATTATTTGTGGCTTCTTCTTCAATGGGATTGGACTTGCGGTTTCGTTTTTGCTTTTTTGAAGAACTTGAAGCCGATGTGACATCTTCGCTTTGAATAATTGCTTCCGGTAACAGCATATCGCGAATAACAGACCATAAGCTATGAACACGAGGCTGGCAAAAAGTAGATTCCTGAAAAAGTTCACAACCAAAACACAATCTCAAGATAAATTCTTAACATGTTCGACCATTCTCCAATGCAAAAAGCTCGGTATGTATTGTACCTTCAAGCAATTACCAATGGCTGAGAGATGATCAGCAGAAAAAAAATTCGCGGAACTGAAAGGAACGGGCAGTAGCTTGCTAAATACAGGATGATCAACTGAAATCTTTTCACGGAGTTTAAGCGCTAAGAGCAAAGCATCTGGGTTTCCAACCTCAGTGGCTTGTTCAAACCATTTAAGAAGCTCTGGAGCTTCCATTACGTGAGTCACAACAGCTTCAGCAGGCAACTGCAGAACAAAAAAAGATGGCATCATAAAACACACAGCAGGTAACAAAACCGCAATAAACTTTGCATATACGAATGAACCTTCTATACCTTCTCGACAAAGCCTAGAAGAACATGAACAGCTGGTTCCTGCAAGTAACGTTTTTTGGCAGCAAGACCAATAACAGCATTGGTAAACTCTTTGATGATCTGAGAGTCTTTATCAGACTCCCAATCTTCAATTAGTCTTCCAGATCGTGCTACCGCACCATAAGCAAACAACCGACCCAATAAGCATTCTTTCACATCCTGAGTCCATTTCAAATCAAAGCATATGAGTCTCTATAACAACAACCACATACAAAGAATAACAAAAATGCTACTTACTTGTCCCTTCATGGACGAAGACACAGACAGAGAATCAGTAATGAGTTTCAGCAGTGATTCCACATTAATGCTAGGAATTATACTAACTGGTAATGTTAACCCCAAGGCAAATCCTTGTCTTGCACACTGTTAAAGAAACAAAAAAACATCAAAAATCAATAAGAAATTGCTAGAAAAAAGTAGGATCTTTGGATATAAGAACTGAGCCAGAAGGAGAGATACCTCTCTTGAAGAAGAGACTCCTCGAATTAGCCTGCGTAGAGCGTACCTCAGCTGCGGTGCACAATTATCCAAACCATCGTTTTTCTCAGCTTCAAGCATCAATCCACCATCAACAGATTCCTTATCAGGTAACATCTCATACTGTTTCTGAATCTCTTGTAACCTCAACACCACAGATTCAGCAGCTGCTTCTCTAACGGAAGCATCAGAAGAAGCCAAATCCCTAAAATAGTTAAGTGGTAACTCCGGCA